GCGGATGCTCTCTGGTGCCTCCCCTTCTCCTCCCGCCAAGGCCGCTGCCACCGCCGGGACCTGTGGGCCGCCGCCGGGACCTGAGGTAATGAATGCCCTGACTGACGGCACCCCTTCCCTTCCCTTCCTCAGGGTCCCGCGCTGCCTATGGAGAGCGGATACGGATCAAATGGTTTTCAATGCATTCCTATGGGAATGCAGATTTTGACCTGCGAACTTTTTGACTTGCGAACTGCCTTCCAATACGGATTAAGTTCGCAAGTCAAGTCCCCACTGTATTGAGGTCCTAAAACATTTAGGGCTTTATATGTCATCATTAACACTTTGAAATCAATGCGGAAATGAATGGGCAGCCAATGCAAAATTTTAAAAAGAAAGGGAATAGAAACAGGAAACCACTCCCCCAGAACCCCCCCCGTCACACCCAGAGAAAGAAAAAGCAAATAAGGACATTTTTGCTTCCTACCTTTCTCACACTCATATGCTTTTGCTCCAAAATCAAGCCACAAGGATAACATTCTTGGCATTGACTGATAGATGAACTGGTTCCCAAAATGTAAAGATCTGAAATTAAATGACAATTTTAAGCTATTTATTTTTTATTTTTGTTGCCCTTTATTGCTGCAATTGATGATTCAAAATTATTTATCATATTAGGACAATAATATTTTGTATACTGCCCTCCTATTTAAAGGCAATAGATACCTATTCCGATAAATACAATGTATATTATAAATGAGGTGCGTCCTAACTTAGCCTTCCCCATACAGAAGGTCTTCTATCAGTACAAGGCTTTGGATCCAGCAGAGCACCCTGCAGGCAGATTAGCAAAGAAGGCAATTTTGGTAGATTCCACTCCAGGGAACATTTTCAGAGGGGACAAGGAGCTGTAGGAACTGACTTCCTTAAAAAACAAAACAAAACAACAACAACAACAAAACTGATTTTTCACCAAATAGCTGTCCTATTTTGTACATATGATGCTCCATTTGTGCAAGCAGTGGGGCTTTTTCAGAAGCTGTGAAAGAAGGCATCCAGGAACTTTGTTCCTTGCTTAAGACCCACTGAAAACAAAGGAGAATTTCCACCTTGAAGAATGGCAAGCCAGAGGTTGCAGAACACCATGGATGCTGCATTACACTTTGCCTGCTTTCCCAAGGATACCTGCCACTTTCTTTGAAAGAGGAAGTAATGCTAGGAATATAACACATGCAACCTTGTCAGAGGGATTTGTGGAGACACTACACTCAAGGTGAAAAGGTTTTATTATTTTTAAGGACTAAGTATGGCATATTCGTGCGCGCGCGCGCACACACACACACAAACACAAAATCGGGATATAGCTTTTGGTTCATATAATCTACAAACTTAATAGGTATTGACTTCCTGAGATTTTTTTAAAGGAAGTTGAGTTTCATATATTTTCCTGTGCAATAGTATTATCGGGCAGGTTTCTAATACATTTGAAAAATACATTTGGACATACTTTGCAGAAAACATCTTACATAATTTATTTGTTTTTCAATCCATGGATCGCATTATGAGCACTAGTATGCCTGGTTTTCAATTATGATTTCAGGCTTCTCAGAATGAAATTTCATCTAGAAAGCAGGGAATTTTTGCTCCAGATGTACAACTTTCCAACATTCCTGACCACCAACCCTGGTACCTGGGGCTGATGGGGTCAAGAAATCTGGGAGGCTACATCGTCCCAATCCAGTGAGGCACAAGAAAATGGGACAGATGATAATCTAACTAACCAAATATAACTATGAGCACTAACTACAAAAGAATAGTGCATTCTAACCTTCCAAAGTGAATAACTATATATTTGATCAGGTCTCCCTGTTTTTCCATCTTGTTTTCTGTTACTGTAGGCATCAGTTTATCATAGTATTTTGCAAGGTAAAAGTGTCCATTCTCCCATTCTGGCAAGCAAACTGTGACATCCTGGAAAAAAATGTGGGGAAAAAGTGTATTTAATTTCTATTTATTAAGAATCCTATGCAGTCAGTAGCCTTTGAATAATGTCTCTTGAAAGGTAACATGAGTGGGAGGGTGCTGCTACACTTCGTGTCATGCTTGTGGGTTTCTAGGCATTTGGCTGAAAAATGGGGGAATAGAATACTGGACTAGATTGGCCTTTATTCTGTTTCAACATGGTTCTTCTTATGAGCTGGTGGTATGAGTCCCCAAACTTCCAAGCAACTTGTATGCATAAAGTTGCAAAATGGCATCAGGAAACAGAGAAGCTTAGAGCTTCAATTTAACTTCGATTTAATTTCTAGTGATTGTTGAGCACAACTAGAATTAAAGGAGGATACTGCAGCACACTTCCATATACTGGCATGCAACGCTACTGAATTATTAACGCTTAAAAGGTCTACTTCCAGTTTTTACCTTGTACTTTTTCATTACTGCATTACTCTCAAAGTTGGCTGTTTCTTCCATAAATCTGCCCACCAACAACAAGGCCTGTCCATGGATTAGCTTACTTTTAGTATCTGATGGTACCTTACCATCTGGAAAACATAGCTCAACACCCTTCTGGAGGACAATCAGGCCTTGATGAGCCTCACCCTGAGAAAGAAAAAGAAATATTAATAATGCAGCACTAATTTTATTAATGGGCCTTTTAAATACATCACGACCTAGAGACAGACACAGCCTCTATATTACACATATGCAAGCCTCACTTAATCCAAAATATTATTCAATGTAGCAAAGTATTGCCATAACAACATCTGAAATTGTCTCAGTCCAGTTCCTCTAAAAAAACTTATAAATACTACCCAATAATATATGCTGAAGAACACATGAAATAAATATAGAGATAGTCAGACTTAATTTTGTATACCTTGGACCACAGCCACTTTGCTCTTTCTACATATAGTTCAGACAGCTTGGACTCCCCGGCATTGAGGAGAGCATTATATGCTGTTTGGTGATGACCAGCTTTACGAGCGACTCTGGCGCTCTGCAGCCAACATTCTCCCATCTGCTCACTGAAATCCTCTCTGTAAGGAATATATATATTTACACTGCCAAAATTAGAAAGAGACAATTATGAAAGCTACTCCAATAATATATGCTGAATATTATATCTCATATGGGTTTAGTTCTACAAATTCATCCAGCTTTAAGGTCAGCTAGATCAATTATCTCTGGCGTGCTCTGGTCCATGGGGTCACGAAGAGTCAGACACAACTTAACAACTAAAAAACAACAGATCAGTTATTAGTCCGAATTCAAGATGGTTTAAAATTAGACAGCATGACCTTAGTTCCTGTTTGTCTTCTTGTATGTGCTTTCCTGTGCATTTTGCACAACCCACTTCTCTGAATTACTATGCAATGGCATCCAAACCAGATTATATGTGTTGCCATTACATAATACTACAATGGTGCTCTGTTTCTTTTTGTTTAATCCATGTGAGCCTTACATTTCTGGTAAACAACTTATGGTTTTATTTTAATTATATTTCATATAGTATTGCCACTCACTGTAAAGTCACTTTCACTACTTTAATTCTTGTTATAAGATTTCACAAATAACTTTTCAAAAAGGACCAACTGAGACACAATCCCTGAAATCCTCATTGCGTGGCCACCCCTATGTAAGGCTGATGATGTCATCAGCTACAGCAATTTTTCAAAACTGAAATTTTTCAAATCCCCTCCCCTCGAGACTCCCTTGAGATCTCTTTTGTTGCAGAGAAGCCATTTGGAGTGCAGAATGCAGGAGAAGCCTTTAATCTCTGAAAATCATCTTGGCAGCAGCAATTTTCATTGACAACACTCCCCCTCCTCACCTGCAACCAGCAATGGTTTCCTGACAATGAAAGGGATCCCCCTGGGGCCTCAAGGGAGAAACTAAAAATGTTTTAGTTCCAAAAAAATCACTGTGGCTGATGATCTCATCACACTCATGCAGCATTTTTGCAGAAATAGGACTTTAGCCAACAAAAAAGACATAAACAGATTTTTTTACACACATACATTTCAGTTCCATTCTGGTTTACCACAGGTATTTTCTTTCTGGATTTCTGAAAAGGAGCATGGTGAACTCAGGAAGTTGCTGTTACAGAATGACCAACCTAGATGGCTTTAAAAGGGACTGGCCACACACAATGAAAACTACTAGTGTAGGCACCATTAAGTTGGAAATAGATGTATCCATGATTATAAACAAGGATGACTATACTGTATTCTCCTTCCAGAATCAGAGGTAACAATGCAGAGCATAGGTACAATACTGGGAGAGTCTTATTGTTTCCACGTTATCTCCTAGTTGGTCCCCCACAAGCATCTCATTGGCCACAGTAGGAAACCAGACACTGAACTAGCTAACCTTTGACCAAAAATAGCAAAGCTCTTTCTCCTATGGTCGAAACACTCATGAACTATGAAAGCAGTTGCTTGTCCCTCACTCATTCTCACTCTGGACAGCTGCCTCTAGATCTCTGTGGCCCTACAGAGGATCACAGAACTCTGTCTTACAGGCCATCTGAAGTTGTATATGTTATCTATACAGGATGAATGGGCTCTAAGGATATGCACAAATTTTGTCCTAATAGGGCCAATTTGCATATCAAATGTAGGTGTACTGAACTATGATCTTGCCCACCTGTTAGCCTAAACTGTATTTCACAGATTGCTACCAGATTAAAATGGAATCAATCCCACCAGTTCTTTTAACACAGCAGCTAATTTACAGAAATAATTGGCAATGACTCTCTTGTAATTATATTTTTTTCATTTTTAGCCTGCAATTCACAGAACAAAAAGAACAAAAGGTAACAATCCAGCATTGAACACACACTAATAGGAACACGACTTGACCTTTTACTGAGGCTGAGCAAAGCCCGTCTAAGCGCCAGGATGGGTTCCTTAGCCCTGTATGAGTTTTGAGTCATTTCTATACGGGCATGCCAATTCAGAGAATCTTTTCCACCATCACTATGAGACTGCAGAAGCATTGGTGCAATGCTGTGCTCCAGCTCACACAGCATGTGTAACCTTGAATAAAATAATAAAGAAGAATAATGCCTTGAATAAAATACAATTTAAAACACACACACACAAAAGAAGAGATCTGGTGAAAACACTGTTTCCTTGCCATACGTGTTCTATGTCAGTGGTTCTTAACCTTGGGTTACTCAGGTATTTTTGGACTGCAACTCCCAGAAGCCTTCACCACTAGCTGTGCTGGCTGGGGTTTCTGGGAGTTGCAGTTCAAAAACACCTGAGTAACCCAAGGTTAAGAACCAATGATCTATGTGATCACTCCCCCCACTGAGCCTAGCAGGAACTTTTTCTGGCAGTGATATGCAACATCATCTCTAGCCCCACCACAGAACAGAAATGCAATGCTGGCTACCTTGTGCTGTAGCCACTGTTTTACAGGCAGGGTGGGCAGGCAGCTGAAAAGAAGAGTGGTGAAACAGGAATAAAACGATGGTTGACAGTGGTGTTTTATTTGCCTTAGGCTAGGTTATTATTCCTCTCCCTTATCCTCATAATGTATATTCCTACCACTAATGTATTCTGAAGGACTCTCGTAAGGGTTACCAAGGCAATTTACGAAAATCCCTTTGAGTGGCTTAAAATACATGATATAGCGTATTTTTTGCTCCATAAGATGCACTTCCCCCCCAAAATGTGGGGTGGAAAGTCATTGCGTCTTTTGGCAGCGATTTCGTCCCCGCTGGCCCCGGGGGGGGAGCATCGCAAGGGTGCGGGTGAGCACTCCAGGACCCTTGCAACGCTCCCCCCAACCCCCACGGGGCCAGCGCAGGCGAAATCGCCAGCTTCTGGAAGTCTTTTGAGGCTTGGGAAGCTTCAGAAGACTCCCAAGAGCTGGCGATTTCACCCCCTGTCCCCCTGGGGGGGCATGGGGGAGCATCGCAAGAGTCCAAGTGAGCCTTCCAGGACCCTTGCGACACTCCCCCCACCCCCGCACGGGGCCAGCGCGGGCGAAACCACCAGCTTCTGGGAGTCTTTTGAGGCTTGGGAAGTTTCTGAAGAGTCCCAGAAGATGGCGATTTCACCCCCCTCGCACCTGGGGGGGCACGGTGAGTCTCTAAAGGGTCCTGGATCAC